TGAGGAACAGGTCCTCAAATGACCTTAAGAGTAAATGTAAATTGGTTTATCTGGGCCAACTGTAGGGTCTTAAACACCCAAAAGGAAAGTATAACGAAATATTAAAGCTACCAATATAATTTTTAAGAGCCCATATGTATAGCTAAAGGCTCCATAACAAGCAACAATGCCAGACAGGCGATACCTTCTTTTGAGTTGTTGCCCAGGGTGGCCAAAGGGACTCCCAGATAGTAACCCAGCATAGAACTGGGAAAATGAACAGCAGACCCCAATGTTATCTGAAAGAATATTGACAGCAGATTACTGCTAGATGGGGAACAGCTGACCCTCCTAAAACAAAAACCTCTAGATAGGCTGAGTATATTCACCAGATGGACAAGTAATGGGAAATGGCTGGGGTTGCCAACAACATAGTAGACTGTAGCAGGGATATCAGAGTATAAAGTCTCTAGTTGGGGAAGGGAGCCTTTAGGAGGGTGCCATCTGGGAAGTGGGTATATAGTTGAATAAGATGGTTTGGGATGTTCTGTATGATATACACACAAAAAAATATCAATAAATTCAAAAAATGGATTAAATTCAAGGAGGATGCATGGAAATTTACATCATGTTATTTAGTAGAGGTGATAAACATTACCACTGCAATCTACCCGATGACTTTATAGACATACACAGGCGCCAAGGATCCAAGTGCAACCAATTATGACTAGTAATATTCAGATACATATAGAGATGCATGTGCCAACATCTCAGTGTTAGTAGCAAACATAATGAGTCTTTCCGCAAGGAACAATATATTCTAAAATGAATTGGAGATCTTTTTTAAAGGTTAAAAACTCATTCAATTTTATGTCTTACAGGGCTTATACTGAGTTCAATATTGTATAACTGTATTAATTCAACTGTGAACCTAGAAACTTACAGCCACTTGTGTGGAATTTTTTACTGAATATGTTAAAGCTGTAACAAATTGCTTCTTCTAATTATTAATTATTAATTGCTTCTTCTAGTTATTAATTTTTTTTTAATTTACTTCATTAAATTAAATAAGAGGTGATAAACATTACCAATGAAATGTACCTGATGACTTTATATCCATACTCAGGTACTAAGGATCTGAGTATAACTGACTGTGACTAGTAATAATCAGATACACAGAGATTAAAGACACATGTGCAAACATGTAAGTGTTAGTAGCATTAAAAATGTAGGAAAACAGCATGTCTTAAAATGAAGTAGAGATCTTCTTAAAGGGTAAAAACTCATTCAATTTTATGTCTTACAGGGTTTATACTGAGTTCAATGTTGTATGACTGTATTAATTCAACTGTGAACCTAAAAATTTATAGCCACCTTTGATAGAGATGTATCATTGCTCTGGAATGTGTTACTGAATATTTTAAAGCTGTAATAAAATGCTTCTTCTAATCATGTGGTTATTAAATTTAAATTTTTTTTTAAAAAACTTTTTAAAAAAGTAAAAAAAAAAAGAAAGAAAGAAAAAAGACAGCACTGGAAAAGCAGAGGCAAGCAGATTTCTGTGAGTTCAAGGCCAGCGTCGTCTACACAGCAAGTTCTAACCCAGCCAAAACTGCATAGTAAGACCGTGTCTAAAAGAAAACAAACAAAAATCAAAACAACAACGAAACAATGAGT